CCCTCATACTGTACTATCACAGCAGAGCGATGGACGCTATTTGCCATCCGATGTATATCATGGAATCGGATGCTATTTGAGTTACCAGGCTCACTTTCGACTGTAGCCACTGCCTCCTGGCTTCCGAGGCCTCGGCATTGTCCTGCGACAATTCGTACTCGTTTGGCATGGCCTCGAGCATATGTCCTGACAACGGACCAGCACAAAGTCCACGTCTTCCGTCCCGATTATCGAGCGCAGGCTAAGAGTTGGCGCCACTGATGGCTCGATACCCCAGACGCAACCTCGAGACTGATCTGTGAGGCAGACTCCTGGTAGCTTGATTCGTGACCATCCATTTTGCCAGGCAGCAGCTGGGTATAGGCCTCCAAGTTGAGCGCCTCCGACCTCGCCGCTCCAACTTACCCAATCCCTTATCCAGCCGCTTCTCACGTCTTACTGGGACAGACTCATGACTCGCAAGCGTGTGCAGGGAAGGCGGGGCTTGCACTTTGGCTCGCTTTCTTGCGGGAGATCCATCCCTCTCTTTTTTGTTTTTTTTGGCAAGGCCCAGGTCAGAGATCCCTTCTGTGGCGATGGGCACTGGACGAGGGCAGCGCGGGCCATCTCTGACTTCCAGGTGAGTCCCACAGGTAGAGGCTCAAATCAAGAGCATCATCTGGTGTAGACGTCCACGAGCGCGGCTTGGATGGCCACGGCTGCTCGGAGCGTTTACTCCACCGCTGGCTGGCCGAGTTCTTGGCGCATCCGCAGACGTCGCTGACTGCTCGGGCGGCGCATGCTCTGCCACGGCAGGACGGGTGCCATGTAAAATCCATGAGCGTCTGCTCGCGATTCCATTGTCGGTCTGAATTTCGCAGCCGGCAGGTCCAAAACCCTTCGCCAGAACGGCTTGGGAGCATTAGAAGGAGGCGCAATTGTGAAGACGAAGTGTGAGGGAGTGATGGGTGAAGGGAGATGGTGCGTCCCTTATCCTCCCCGTTTCTCTCTCCTCTTCCTTCCTCCCTCCGCCCAGAGGGGTCGGACAAAGAGGAGTGTGGTTGGAGGAGGGACGATGCGGGTGCATGTTGTATCGTCGGAGCGCCAAGGGAAGGTGGTAACGCATCATGTAAGCATCTGGTATCACAGACATCGTCTGGGCCGCTGGCCAATTCACAGCGAATGTTGTACACCAATAATATATTCGTGTCTTGCCCCACTGTTTTACAACTGACGGCCAGACATACGAACAAACATCCGTTGTGGGGGCACCGCGCGCACACGCTTCGACAAGTCGATCGCGGACGTCACGCGGCAGTGGAGGGACGATTTTTGTGCGGCGTTGCGAGAGGAGCGAGGAGGAGGACCCGAGTGAACCCAGCATGCATCAACGAATCTGCTGCAACAGACCCTCCCGTCGCAGCCCCCTCCGCGCATCACATGTCCGTACACGCCTGTTTTTTTCGTTGAGGGCAAATGGCCCACGAGGCCGCTATTCGGTCGAGAGCCCCATTTTGAGGAAGGACTGTTCTGCTTCAAGCCGTATAGTCGAATGCCAAGAGGCAGGGTTACCGTAACATTCGAGGAGCTGTCCAGCGATGCCTTTGTCTTGAAACGGTGCCACCCCCCACCCGCGTAGTTGCTCATGTTTTGTATGTATGGTGGAAATGTGGCAGAAGGCTCACGCGAGAGCTCCATTTCGAAAAGGAGCCGCCCTTCATTCGTATGCTCGTTGTTCGATGTCCACTGTATGGTCGCGTTCGCTCTGGAAAGGCTGCCGTCCACCATGGTAGTTGGAAATGTTTTGGACGAGCGTGCTCGGCGCGAAGGGGGAGCAACATTTTAAACACGAGCCTCTCTCCGCTGTTTTACATGATGAAACATCTTAGAACAACGTCCCCAGGCGCCAGCATCCTGCATTCTGCATCCTTTGAAGGATCCCCGTTTTGAAACGGAACTGCCCTACATCCTTCCCGATGTAGGGATGCGCTGACAAAGCGACGAGACATAATCGTTTGTAGACTACAATGCCCCAGGGGGATCCAGTCAAGTCGGGAGGGAGATTCTTTTCATCGGAGAGCCGGTGTCGTGCAATCTTTGCGCTGCGAGCTCAGTGGGCACCCTGAGACGGAAGCCTGCGCACGAGGCGCCCGCGGCTGCCCACCAACAGGCAGACCCAGCCAGTGCGCGAGGTACCCTCGGGCGCTCACCAGGCGGAAACATTGGCACACCCAGCCGGCGCACAAGGTGCTCACGAGTCGGCCACGATGCGGCCACGGGTGCCCGCCGTAATCCTGGCAGGCCCCACGTGGCGCACGGGGCGCCCATGAAACGGCCACGGGCGTAAATTCTTGACGCTTTGTGTATCCCCACCAGTCGCGACCTTCCGCCGCTGGCGCTTCCGCCTGCGGCTGTAAGAAAAAAAAGTATCCCCACCAGCCCATTCAGACATGAAACGGCCACGCGATTATCGGCTAGGGGCTGTCGGAGGCTATCCTGAGCAGTGCTCAGCTACCTTGGACCATCCTGAGGCTGTCTGGAGGCCTCTTGGAGGTCTGTCGGAGGCTATCTTGAGCTATGCTCGACCTCCTGAGACCATCTTGGGGGTAGGAAGAGGAGGAAACAAAAAGAAGGAGAAGGAGGGGGAAGACGAGGAGGAGGAGGAGGCGGAGGACTGCGGCACGAGGAAGAGGATGAGGAGACGGCAGCAGGCAGGAAAGGAGGGAAGGAATCCACGATGACAAGGAGGATGAGAAGTCGGGCGTTGGAGATATGTTGTGAGAGATTCTTGAAGGACAATTGGGGACATCTTAGGGGATTGGGGTCTCCGTGGGACCTCTTGGGGCTCTCCTGGGGCTCATTTTGGGGGTGTTTGGGCCCTCTTGGGGCTCATTGGAGGGGCCTGGGAGGCCTCTTGGGTACCATGGCTCAAGAAGAAGGGAGGGTTCTCAATTTAGCTTCCCTCCCGAGACTCAAAAATGGCGTCTTGGGGCCCTCTTTGGCCGCTCTTGGAGCGCTCTCTTGGGCCCTCTTGGGCTCTTCGGACACTCTTGGGGCTCTCTTGGGCCGTCTTGCGGCCATCTTGAGGCATCAAAAGTCCATCGGAAGCGGAACGGCAGCGAGAAGGCAACCGACACCGGTTTTCGCATGGTTTGTGAATGATTTTGGCTTCTTGGAGGGTGCCTAGGAAGGCTCGAAGGGCACTTGGAACCGTCTGGGGGCCGTCTTGTGGCATCCTTGAGGTATGTCGGAGGCTATCTTGCACTATGTTCTGCTTCCTTGGGCAATCTCGGAGGCCATCTTGGGCTTTCCGAGGCACTCCAAGAGCCATCTTGGGCCATCGTGGACGCTTCGCCCCCCCCCCTCCCAGGCCAAGGGGAGGCGATAGGGGGAGGGGTAAACCCTTCCCCCGAGCAGGGGGAGAGGGGGATCACGGAAGAAAGAAAACAAAATCCATGAATTCACCTACCACTTACGGCCAGAGGGCCAGAGGGATTTGGCAGGCGCATCCCATTATACAGGGAAGGGGGCAAGAAAGCCTTAGTTCAAACAATGCTTGGGAAGCTTGCAGTCAACCCGCATAATAAGTATGGGCAACCTTCCCAAGGGTACCCTTCCATCCTTGCATCCTCGGTCCATCCTTGGCCACTTTCGTTGGCCGCGCCCCGCTCGAAAAGCTTCGAACTAGGCGCCCAAGGTCCTTATGATACGGGTCGACTGTACAGGAGGCAAACACACCAGACAGCACTTGGTTTAAGTGGAGAAATATTCAAACATCGTAAAACAGAGTCAGCTGACGATCTTCGGGGTATATTTTAATTATCCGTAAGGGCTTCGCCCCCTGCCGCCGGCCCCCTCTCTCGGAGAATGGGCCATGGAAGAGCTAAGTCATGAGGCTTTGGCGCTGTCGTGCAGCAGTATCGGAACTTCATGCGAGGCCGATTCGCAATCGGCAAAACCAACTGATCACAAGAGGGGTTACCACACAGGGCGATTGGTAAGACGTGTATGGTTTACGAGCTTGGTTACCACACCTTGGGATTAAAGGGCCGAGGGAGTACTCGCAGTTTGGGTTACCACGCCTTGCGATGGATGTGCGTGAGGGGTGGCACCGAATTTCAGAAATGTGGCAAATCCCTTGTGTTTTTGGACCCTGACCCCGCGGATCTGCGTGAGGGGTGGCACCGAATTTCAGAAATGTGGCAAATCCCCTGTGTTTTTGGACCCTGACCCCGCGGATCTGCGTGAGGGGTGGCACCGAATTTCAGAAATGTGGCAAATCCCATGTGTTTTTGGACCCTGACCCCGCGGATCTGCGTGAGGGGTGGCACCGAATTTCAGAAATGTGGCAAATCCCATGTGTTTTTGGACCCTGACCCCGCGGATCTGCGTGAGGGGTGGCACCGAATTTCAGAAATGTGGCAAATCCCCTGTGTTTTTGGACCCTGACCCCGCGGATCTGCGTGAGGGGTGGCACCGAATTTCAGAAATGTGGCAAATCCCCTGTGTTTTTGGACCCTGACCCCGCGGATCTGCGTGAGGGGTGGCACCGAATTTCAGAAATGTGGCAAATCCCCTGTGTTTTTGGACCCTGACCCCGCGGATCTGCGTGAGGGGTGTTGATTTCGAGCCCCCCCAGCAATTCAGACAACGCGCCCAGGTGAGGCTAAAAGTCTTGTTTGGGCCTCCCCCCCCCTCGCGCGGTCAATCAACTAATTACAGTAACCAGCAAGAAGTCAACTAGTTACAGCAACCAGCAAGAAGCAGAACTGTAACACTGGAAACTACAACCTACGACTGGTACAGGAAACTGCGAATCACGCGCCTCGCAGCCTGGTGGCCCCACAAGGGGGCCGGCGGATTATGGAGCATTTTTCGAGTATGTATGATTGTTCGTCCAAAATCCCCCTGTAGGGGGACGTGCCCGACCTTACACTTGCCATTCTACCACGCCGCGTGGAGGGATTGAAAAGAAAGAGGAAAAGTCCAGCTCGCGTGCTTTCGAAATGAAATGGTGGGAGGCCGACGACGAGGCCGTGAGCCCGGAGGACAGAGCCAGCGCCATCAGGCTCCCTGGGTGCTCGGAGGGTTTCTGGACTGCAAGCTTGGCTGGGCGCAGGACATGTCAGGATTTGTCTGCGCAGAGCACGCAGAGCATGACACATTGCAGAGGATATTCGGCTCCGGCGCCAAGTAGACCAGAAGCAGAGCTGGGACTGAAGAAGGCCAGCACACGATACAGCGGCAGGAACCGTTGAGGCGATCAGCGGCAAAAACAGTAGTCAGCAGGCAATTTTCGTCGTCTATCCCAGACTACGGCAAGGGACAGCAGCTTCGCCTCACTGGCGGACTCGCGAGAGGTGGAAGGCCAGCATTCGTTCGGCGACGTTATCCACATCAGTTGTCGGGGGGCAAGAGATAGCCGGAGGAGCATGAGGAGGCCCTGGACGTACCCACCTATGTACGTGCATGTGACACACACACACACATTCGTTCAGTGTGCTGATCAATGGTTCACGCATGTTGGGGTCATCGATGGTACTACGATGAACGAGCCCCCATGGCCATCGCAAACCAGACATGCAAAAAGGCGGCCAGGTCGCTGGGTACACGATGATGTGCTTGTGTCGAACAGTGTCTCTGGGCCCATGTTCATCGGCAGTCGCACGGCTAGCCATCTCGGCATTCTACGTCGCCTTCGCAAGGTCAGACTGCGCGACGGCCAGGATCTGGTCTTCGCCCAGTTCGCCATCGCCAGTTTTCCAGCGCTTTTCCAGTCAGCCGATCGCCCTCGTCCGCAGCGTGGGCTGGGGGCAGCGGTGGTGCATGGCGGCTGCTCACTGTGGGCATCTCACGCGGAGGTCGGCCCGGTGCTCCACAACAGGGCTCACACACGCGCCAGCCTTCGCCAGGGCGGCCGTGACTCCACGGCCTACCAGGTGGTGGCGGCACCGACGACATGGCGGGGCAGTGGGGCCCGTAGGCATAAACCCTTTCGCCCGCAGCGGGGCCCGCAGACTGCTCCCCGCCGCCGCCAAGGCGGTGCCGGGATGGCGGGCCCAAGCGGACAGCGGAGGGACCAGCAGCTAGGGCACCAGCAGGGACACGATCAGTTGCCAGAGCGCCCTGGGCTCCACGGGGTGGCAGAGCGCTCGCCTCCTCCCGGTTAGGCGGGGCAGTGGGGCTCGCAGGCAGAGTCCTCCTTCCGCCCGCAGTGGGGCCCGCAGTCTGCTTCCCACCGCCGCCAGAGCCGGGTGCCAAACCAACACGAGTCGCCATCTTGGGCGCCCAGAGCTCGAAGAGGTGGCGGGGCAGTGCTGCCCGTGGGCAGAACCCCACCGCCCGCAGAGTCCCGCAGGCACATTCCCACCGCCGCCAAGACAGCGTCCAACCAGTTCTCCAGCTGCTTCAGCTTGTCGGCGAACGCGTCGGTCAGGTCTCCCACCAGCTCGAGGCCGAACTACTCGAAGGCCGTACCAAGCCTGGCACCACATCCAGACTGGAGGACGTCGAGGAATGCCCCGACGGGGTCGAGAGCTCGCAAGGTGGCATTCCGCGGCTCTGCCATGGGTCGCGGCGCCTGCGGCGGGCAGCAGGCGCTCTGATCATGCGGCGGCGGTTCGCTGGATCTGGGCGAAAACTTGGCCCAAGTTGCGGAGATGAAGACGGAGCAGCAGTCGACGGTGATGATGATTGGTGGTAAGCTTCTCCCCTGGAGCCAATGGCTGCCAGGATGAACTTGTCCACGCCTTGCCGTCGAAGGCAGACGGGTTCCTTGGAGGCAAGGGCGCGGGCGGGCCCACGCGTGTCCTGTCGTTCCCGGGCCGCTCGAGCATCAAAGAATCGGTGGCACAGCAGGGTCCTGTATCCTATCCTCTCCTGGCAGAATCAGGAGCACGGCGAGGGAAGGAGGAGGTGAAGAGTGGGGAGAGTGCACGCGCCCAACCCCACTGCGCGTCCCCGAGAATGGGGTGGTGGGCTCTGAGGCTTGTTTGGCTCATTCGGGGGCAAAACACACAAGGAGCGCAAGTTTTTGCGAAGGGGTTGTGGCTTCTGGAAGGCGAGCGCGCAGTGATTTACAAGGGACTGAGTTCGAGAGCGCGAACGCATTGTGATTAACGAGGGCGAGTGGTTTGGAGAGCGCGAGGTCCTGGTAATCTGAGGGGGATTGTGGCCTCGGGAACGCCGACGCGCCGTAAGTTACAAGAAGCTTTAGTTTACTTGGGGTTGTGGCCTCGCGAGCTCGAGCGCACCGGATTAATTTGGAAGGGTATGAGGCTTCAGGGACACAAGCTTGTTTTCATGCACGAGGGGAGGAATATCAGGAGCGCGGAAGGGAGGTACATTCACAGTACGGCTTGAGGAGTGCGAGCGCGGTGTGATTTACGATTGGGGACGCAAGCTGATTGTACATTGCAATGGGGTTGTGGTTTCTGGGGCGCGCACGCGTAGTAATTTACAAAGAGCTGTCCTGTCGGGAGCGCGAATTCGTAGTAAGTTGCAGTACTGCGGCCATGGGGACGCAACCTCGTTGCTATCTATTCTTTGTTGTGGCCTCGGGAGCGCGAATCTGTTGCAATGTATACGGGATTGTGGCTTGGGGATCGCGAGTTCGTTGTAAATTACTACGGGTTGTGGCCTCGGCAGCGCCAGTCCGTCGTAATTTTCAAAAGGGATGGTGGCGTCGGGAGCGCGAGTATGTGTTTTCACGTGTCCCAGGGGCTCAACGAATCTTGGCAACGTGATTTTGGCGCGGTAATGGGATATGTTTCTACCTGGTGTCGTCTCGCAGAGTTCTATCATTTCAACGCTGGAACTAGAGAACAAAAAACTACTGTAACGTTGCGAACTGGAATTGGTGCAACAGGAAGGTATACCGCCGCCCGGCAGCCCGTTGCCCCCGAAAAGGAGGCCGGCGGATCTTGCCATCCTGGCCTTCTCTTAGGCTTTCTTGGCAGCATTTTGATTCGGGGGCGCGTAAACATGAAGTAGCGATCCATGGATTTGGCGCGCGGTCGCCAAATCTATGGATCGGGGGAGGTGCCCTCCCTACAATGCGGCCAGCGCCGCCTCGCTCGGCGGCGGAAATCCGCGATTTCCTAGGAAACGGGACCCACCGCTAATCCACCCCCCCTTAATCCATGTTTGCGATGGCCTGATTGTTGGGTGCGTGAGAGGACGGCATGCCAGGCGATATGAACTGCTTCGGTGTATGTTCCAGGCGAGTGGATGTTTCCGGAGGGAGGGGGAGGAGGAACATACATGTCATCAATCTCTTGAGGTTTTGAACTTTATTGCCGCTGATCGGACACTTGGAAAATGAGTGGTCTCCGACATGCAGGTGCACTTTGGGTTTTCCAGGGGAGGTATCTTGTTGCTTCTTGGGCTGCTCCCTCCTACTCCCTCATCTTGCTCCTGAGGCCAAGCCACTTGGTCACCCGCAGGAGCGTGAAGTTAAACACGCTTCGTGGGCTGGGGCGTATAGAGCCGCTGTTCAGCGGGGTGTCGACGCGGGAGTGCGAGGACAATTGCGTTAGGTGGTTCGTGCAGCGCGAAGCGTGAAGTTACAGAAGTTTGGTAGGTGATCGATCTTCCCTGGTCAGCCTAGCATTAAGTCGGGCCTGTCCCTCTACAGGAGGAATATAATCAAATAGTCAAACAATAGTGTGGGGATAATTCTTCTATTATTTTACCATTTTGAAAGATTTGTTCTGTATTATTTTTTTGTCGTCCAAAATCCGCCTGTAGGGGGACATGCCCGACCTGAGCCTAGCATTTGGATCTGCCCGCGCTGCCAAATCGCCCCTGCCCGTGGACGAGGCTGGGTGCCGGGTGCGTCCTGGCGTTCTCCCGCGTCGCCCGGGAGAGCCTCGGCAAGGCTTGCCAGCCGCGCCCGCGCGCGCAGGCGCGTCGGAAAAGTTCGGGGCACCGCTTTCTCTCTGTACTCGACATCCCTTGATAATCGACCGCCCCCTAAAAATCCGGACCCCCCCTTCAACGGCAACCTAATATTCGGGACCCCCTTGTCAACGAGGGGCCTTAACATTCCGGACCCCCTCGTCTTCGGTTTACCGAAACCGCCCTAATAAGCTGGACCCCCCCGCTTCCAAAAAAGACGCGTTTAAAAACCGGACCCGGGGGACGATGATTAGGGGATTTCGAGTATTGGTTCCCACCGTCTCCCGAACACGCCGTGCAGGGGAATGATGAGCAACAATGGAGCAAAGAGGAAATTTTTCAAATCAAACCCAAGCACACATCAGCCCACGCAGCCCCCCAATCATGGCATTGGGTGGTCCTCGAGGGGCCACAATGAAGGCCACCTGCCAAAACATGGGGGGTAAGTTTGCGCCGCCCCTTCGGATGCGATCGCCCGGAGGTTCTGGTGGGCCTTTTTGGGAACATTCAGTCACACACATACACTATGCGCACATATGTTTGCCAGTTTGGGCCCTGATCAATGCGCTACTACACCCCAGATGTGTGATATATGTTGTGGAATGTGCGTGGTGCAATCAAATTTGACAGCATCCGCGCATGATTTCCTTCAATGCCCGCTCATCCGCAAGCAAAACTGCATTGGGTGGCGACGATGAAGATAACGATGACGATGATGCCGTTCATGACGACGGTGCCGAAATTGACGATGGTGATGGTGAACACGTTGATGGCGATGTTCCTAACGGTGGCAATAATGGCTCGGTTGTTGATGATGACGATGGCGTTGGTGAGGGTGATGAGGAAGTGCGCGCGTAGAGATGTGACGAATGATAACGGCGACGACGGTGAGATGATGATAATGATTATGATGACTATGATGATGATGATTTGATGATGATGATGATGATGACGATGATGATGATGATGATGATGATGGTGATGGTGATGGTGATGGTGATGGTGATGGTGATGGTGATGGTGATGGTGATGGTGATGGTGATGATGACGACGATGATGCTGCTGCAGCTGCTGCTGCTGATGACGATGATGATGATGATGATGATGATGACAGTGACGATGACATGGATGACGCTGGCGATGATGATGACACTTGTGCAAATGAGGATGATAAGGAAGGGCGCGCTCGCAGACATTCTCTATTCCCCAAACAGCGCTTTCACTTAAGGGTTCTTCTTTCTTCCATCGGTGAACTAGGCTGGTCTGCTGCCCCGGCCAGATTTGGTCGCCCCGTCGCCGCTCGTCGCCGCCCGTCGCAGCTTTGTCGCCGCCCGTCGCCGCCTTCTCGTCGCCGCACCACACAGACTGCACCACATCGCGTACCAGACTGCACGGTGTAGATTGCAACCCAATTATTGCACCACCTAGAGTGCACCATCCAGATTGCACTTCTTAGATTGCACCATATGGATTCTCCTTCCTCAAAAGAGAATAGACTCTACCCCACTTTCCCCCCCGGGAGTATGGGCGCCCCTTGTCGTATTGCAATGTACACATGATTCTGCCCCATCGTCCATCCTAAATTTGAATCCATACCATCCCAGCCCAGCCGGTATCGGCCCCCCAAGCCATCCTGTGCAACATATGCTATGCGCGCGCATTCGTTCATCAAAAATCATCAGTTTTCAAGACTCCCTTGTAGAAAAAACGAAACGAATTGCACACGCACGCGTCGTCGTGCGCGCATGTCAAAATCCTTCAAATACCATCGGTTTCGTAAGGGTTTCAAAATCGAATGTCAAACAACAACAGCAACAACAACAACAAAAACAAAAAAAATAAACATAGGATTTCGCAACACGGTTTTCAAACATGTTCATATATTATGTTACCAAACAGGTTTCGCGTGGGCATATGTCGAAATTGTTCGCGCGCCTTTGCGCGCGTGCCGTCGCGAGAATCCCCTTTCGAAAAAAAGAGACGAAGTGCACGCGCGCGCGTCGCCGCGCGCGCCCGAGAGCTGTCAAACACCTTTTCGCTTCCGTAACGATTTCAAAGCCGACAGCACAAAACACATACAACAACACATTGTTTCGCGACATCCGTTTCCAAAAAGCGTACGTTTGCGCTGTTGCGGGTGCTTGAGATAACGGTGCGGTTTGTGTTTTCAACATTTGCATTGAATTCTGCCAAACGGCCCTCTCGCGCCGCATGCCGACATCATTCGCGCGCCCTTGCGCGCGTGCTGGGGGGCACGATCCGTCGCCGACTTGCAGTGAAGTGCCCACTGGGATGCGCCCAGCGGTCAGCGCCACCGCGGCCGCGTCGGTCGCGCCAAACTAGCTGGCCGCTGCGCGCGCGTGCTTGGGTTGGCGCGGCCGCAAAGATGCACCAGCCAACGCCAAGCATGCATTTCAATCGCCACCGCGTGGGTTTTGCAAACCAAGCTGCGGATTGGTGGGTGGGATGTTTGCAAGAACATGGGATGTGTCAGCTCGGTTGTTAAAATCAACTGCCCCACATAGATTGCACTCAGTGACCATACCCCGCATCCATTGCCCCACATGATTAGACCACATATCTTGCACGACATAGAGTGCATCACATAGATTGCACCACGTAGCCTACAGCACATGTAGACTGCGCTACGCAGTTTGCACCATATAATGCACCACATTGTATGCCAGAGCACTGTTTTGGGCCCGCGCTGGCTAAACTCGTTGTTCTGTTCTATTTGGAACCTCGACCGTATGTGCTTGAACACACATGTGTTGCAATTACACACGCGGAGAACGCGCGCGTGTCTCACATCGTACTCCTTGGCATACTTGGCGGGCGCGCGATGGTTTTTGAACGTTTTCGTCATGCGCGCGCGTGTGGCTCGCCTGCGTTTGTTTGGCGTTTTGGCTGAGAACCTGTTGTTGTATCATGGCATTAGCGAGTGCGCGTTCTGCCAGGCTGTTGGCAATGTGTTTGGTAAAGTACACGATGACGATGGATCGTTTTGGAATAGCTATGTAGAGAAACTGTTCGGGCACCACTGGGACAGTACGCGCTTTGACATGGGCGTGGCGGCGCGCGCGCGTGCCCAGGGGCCCAGAACAGTACGTTGTGCAGGGGGGCTTCAAAAAACGCACTTATTATGTGAACGCATGTGCACCGCCTAGTGTTGTTTGGCTGGGATGGGGGGCGCGGTACTGGGAATGGCTGGCATGCGAGCAGTTGGTGCTATGACGGTTTACCGTGTTGTTTGCTATGTACAGATCTAGATGCGCATATCCCCCTAGCTGTGCTTGCAATGAGGGGTTCTTACTCCTGTTCTAAGTTCACCGGCCCCCAGTGGCGGTCCGGCCAGCTCGTGGCGGCCCGTCGCCGCAAGTCGGCGCCGCTTTCCCCTGGGGCAATTGAGTCCCAGTGGCGGTCCAGCCGGCTCGTCGCCGCCCGTCGCCACCTGTCGCCGCCGTCGCCGCCGTCGTCGCTGAATTGCTTCGCATTGCAGTCGCATTGCAGTTTGTTGTGCTGTTTTGCATCCCTTCTCTTTACATTGCATTGCGTCGCGTTGTTTTGCATTTATCTGCATCGTTTTCTGAGAAGGCAGTCTGACCACATAGATTGCATCGCATGTGCTTAACCACCTCGATTGCACCACATTGATTGGACCACCTAGATTGCACCGCATAGGTTGCAAGAACTTGCTGCTTGGGGTTCACGCCGGCGGACATATGCATGTATGCGCATGTGTATATATATATATACATGTACACATATTTATATATACATCTGTACATACATACGTATACTCTCCGTCGGCCCATCCCGCCACTGTGGCTGGGTCGGGGATGCATTTTGAAGGCTCTTGCGGGCCTATTGAGGCCTCTGTGGGCATCCTGGGCGTGTCTCAGGTGCCTCTGAGGGACATCTTGGGGGCATTGACGGTGGGCGGTCATCTTGGGGCGGAAGGCTCGAAGTGACAGTTCGTGTTCCCCCTTGGCGCCTCTCTTTGGGCTTGCTTGTGGCTGTCTTGGCCCGCTTTGGGGGCCTCCTGGGCAGTTTTGGGGGCCTTTTGGGCCGTCTTGGAGTTCTCTTTGGGGGCTATTTGGGAACCAGGGGCACCTACACGAATCCCAAAGGTAATTGAGACGGTCTCACCCAGAGAACGAGCCCTTTGCCCAGGATCATCATACATCCATCAGTCCCTACGGAGAACGGAACCCTCACTGGACGGGAGAGCGGAGTTGTTACCCAGATAGCGGTTGTTGCAGGGCCCAGAGATGAGCCCAATGCGGCTCAGGGGCCGCCCAAGACGGCTTGAGGGCGCCTGAAACGCATGCCCATGAGGCCTCTAACGTGCAAATATCTAAGGTGTTTGTATGGATTTGGCATACTCGACTTGTCGGCCTTTCGAGTGTCCGAGGCAGCACTGAAAGCCTTCAAGATCGATCCCAGGCGGCCCAAAATGGCCCCATGAGAGCCGCAATTCGGGACCAAGCTCACCGAAGCTGGCCTCAGGCGGCCCCCTGGAAGGCCCCAAACCAGCCAGGCTCCAAGACGACCCAATTGTTCCCTCAGATATCCCGAGAGGGCCTCCCGTTTTCCAATTTGCCTTGTGCTTCCTCCCCGTTGTTCAGGAGGGGAACAAAAACACAGGAGGGGAAAATATGGGAAAGTATGTGAAATGGGGGGGGGAAGACGAAAACCAAGAAACTATGGGAACATACATGGAATCCTGGGATTTGTGTGCATTGATTTGCGTGTCCCTGGGCTCCTGTAATCCCTTCTCCCCCTCCCAAGGGCGGCAGCGACGGCCTCGGCGGCGGCGCAGGCGACGCCCCCGACCGGCCAGGCGCGCACCCTCGGGGAGCTGAGGGCCTACCTGTCGGACCTGCAGGCCGCCCCGCGCGCTCCTCGCGCGCGCCAGGGCGGCTCGGAGAGAGCGCCGGGGGCCGCCCGGGCTGTCGAGCGCGGCGCGAGCGGCGGGCGGTCCAGCGAGCCAGAGCTGCGGGAGCTCCGCGAGCAAAAGGAGAGGGGTGCGAGTACGGACTGCACAGCGAAGGAGAGAAGACGGCATAGACATAGACTGGTGGCGCGCTCCGCGCAGAGCGCCGAAAGTTTATGGTTTAGGCGCCTTTTCTGCTTCCACGATAGCCCAGACAGTCCTGGTCTGGCAGCAGGAGGCGGAACACATGAGGATTAGGGAGGATAGGGAGGGAGGGGCGAGGGGAATGTGGCAGCAGGGGTGAGAAACAAACGAATCGAGATAAATGGAGCGGGGGAGGAAGAGAATAAGTAGGAAGAGGAGGAGGAGGAGGAGGAGGAGGAGGACAGGAACGGGAAGAGTTTGGAAGTTAGGAGGTAAGACCGAAGTCAAACGGAGTCGCCTAACCAGGAAACCTGTCTCGGTTTCGATTCGTGTCGCGCGTGCGGGCGAGGCAAATCAACGCGAGCCCCTCGTCTAGCTACGACACAATGCGTCGCGGACCGTCGTCTGGGGCGTGCGCGGGGTTGTCCTGCTTTTGCCCCGTGGTTGTCCTGTGCGTGCGCGGGGTTGTTCCGCGGTTGTCCCGCGGATGTCCCGCGGTTGTCCCGCGTTGGTCCCGTGGTTATCCCGTGGTTGCCCCGTCGTTGTCACGCGGCTGTCGTGCGGTTGTCCCGCGGTTGCCCCGTCTGTATAGTGATAGTGGGATGGACGTTCACTGATTGTCCCAGGGTTGTTCCGCAGCAGTCCCGTGGTATCCCGCGGTTGTCTCGTGGTTGTCACGGGGTGTCCCGTGATTGTCCCGCCGCGTTTGTCCCGTCGTCTTCCTGTAATTATGTGTCGCATGGTTGCCCCGTGTTTGTCCCGCGGTTGTTGTCCAGCGGTTTGTCCCGTCGATCGATCGATAGTGAGACCGGAAGATCGTGACATCGATGCATTGGTAGTGACATCGATCCATAGATACATAGACCAGTAGATAGATTACACGATCGATCGTGACATTGATAGTATCAGTCAACGACAAGTGGTGCGAACAATTTGGTTTATAATGATTGATCAATCGATTGTCGGATATACAGAGTCTTGGTGAGGCCGATACACAATAAGATCGAAAGACATCTCGCGAGACCACTGCCACTGTCTACAGTGGTAGTATGATGGTGATATTGGCAGATCTAGGTATCGACATATCGGTAGTGGGATCGATTGATGGATAGCGAGACCGGCAGGTAGAGAGACCGATCGATGGGTATCGCGATCGGTCGATCGATCGCAAGTCCGATCCGCCAATCGCAAACCGCAATCTGCGCCAATCTCCCAACAACTTCCGTATCACCCGACGGGTGGGCCTACAGGTATGACGGCTGGAAGGACGAGAAGACGAGAAGCAGGAACAGGATGATAAGGAGGAGGGATGGAGTGCGGGGGAGGAGGAAGACGGAGGAAGTCGAGGTCAGTTGAAGCTTATTGTGGTCGTGTCTCGATGCTTCTTGACAACTTTTCGGGGCCTGGTGCTCGCATGGGCCATAACGCGCTTGATTCCTCCCCCCCTTGCCCCCAAAACGTAACGCTACCCCCCTTCCCCACCCCCACGTAGTGCGCCTTTGGCAACGTCATTCTGATGCTCGCAGCCTACTGTGGTGCTTGCAGGCTACGGTAACGTTCGCGACTTAGCGCGGCGTGTGCAGGCTCATTGCCCGTGCTCGCAGACATGGTGCTGCGTTCGCAGGCTCTTGTCGCAAATTCAGGGTCGGGAAGTTTTCGCGCGCGCGGGGTTCATTCGGTACTCTGGTGCTGGCAGGGCCGCGAGACTTGTGGTAGTGGCATTGGTAGCAGACGTAGTGGCAACAGTCGCAGCAATGAAAGTTTTATCAGGAGGAGGAGGAGAAAGAGTTGGACGGGGGAACGGGGTGTCCTTGTAATCGTCGTCGTGGTTGTCTTGTGGTAGTTGTCGTCGTCGTCGAAATCGCCATGTTCGTCGTGTTCGTTTTAGTCGTCTTGATCGTCGTCGTCGGCGTGTTGTCGTCGTTGTCACCGTCGTCGTGAAAGTCGCAGTCGTGGGTGCATTCGTAATCGTCGCGATCGTCGTCGCAGTCGTCGTCGCGGTCCGCCCCCGGCGCGCCCTGCGCGTCAGGGAGGGGGTCTCGGCGCAGATCGAAGAAATCCGCGCAGGCGCTGCGGTGAACGCGGCTGCTGTGGTGCACGCAGGCGGTGTAGTGCACGCAAGCACTGTGGTGCACGAGTGCAGCACGCATCGGAAACAGGCAGCGCGGTACAGATTTGAGACGAGGTTCGTGCTATGCTTCGGTTCTGGAGGCGGTAGAAGCATAGTACTGTAGCACGCAGCACAGCGGCAGCAAACACCAGCACAAAATAATGGTAGAAGGAGAGTGTGGAGGATGCAGGCACTGTGGTGCTGCACGATGGTGCACGCATGAGCTGCGCAGTACGTCGGCGATCTTGTGCACGTGGCTGCGGCGGTGCATACTGTATTGCGCACTGGTGCTTGCTGTGATGCGCACGGCGCTGTGGTGCCGGAGCCACACGGCGGGTGGGGGGCGCTACGTTAGGCCCCCCCCGCCCCCCCCATCACGCGCGTTATGGCCGCGAATATTTAGAAGCGCTCCTCGCTTCGCGGAGTGCAAGTCCAGAGCGCGTGACATCTGATCTGGGCTCTGGGGCGGCGCGCCTGGAATGGAGGAGAAGGAGGAGGAGGAGGAGGAGGAAGAAGAGGGCCAGGGGGACGAGAAAATGTATGACGATTGGGGAAGGAGGAGGAGGAAGAGGGGGAGGAGGCGGATGAGGCGGATGAGGGAACGAGGACGACAAGCAGGATGGAGAAGGGGGAGGGAGACGGGGAAAGAACAGGAAGTCGACGTCTGTTGAGGTATTTTGTGGGGTTGTGTGGTTTTTTGAAAGCGTTGAGGACCCCGTGCCTGGCACTCGGAGAAGACGTTGCTCGCTTCGCGGTGGGCGCGTCCATAGCGCGTGAATTTTGGGCGGTGCGACCGCGCCTGGGTTGCAGGCACGAACCCTTTTGCGATCGATTTGGATGCCTCGGCGAACAGATTCGGGAGTTTCCGTGGGCCTCGTGAGGGTTGCTTTCAGGTTTATCGGGGGCCTCTTCGGCATATCTTGTTCGTGTTTGTTTGGCGTCTTCGGGGCGTATTGCGACAATTCTGGTGTTCTTGGGGGGGGAGCATCCGTAGATCCCTTCGCTTTCTCCGCCTTGGGGCTCGTGGGGCCTTGTCGGGCCATGTTGGCGGCCTGTTGGGCCGTCGTGGTGTCGTCTTTGGCGTCTCGGCGTATTCACTGGGCCATGTGACGGCGATCTTGAAGGGCGTCCTGGCCCGTCGTAGGCGATCTGAAACCCGAACCAGCGAGAAAGGCACAACACTTCAATACAAGTATCAGGATTATCAATGAGTTTTACGTCTTGGCGCCTTCTTCGGGGTCCTCATGGAGCGTCTTGGGGGCCTCTGGGGCTGCCTTGATGCCATAGTGGGCAGTCTTGCAGCGCTTTTGGGCAGTTTCGGAGTGCTTGTTGACCAACGTGGGGCCGCTTGGGATATGCGGACAGCGTTTGGCAGCGCTTTTGGAGCAGATGAATCCCGCAAGCCCGCAAATCCCCCAAAATCTGCTGGACCGGGCGTCAGGAGTGGCAGTCAATTTACACGTCAAAAAGGGTCTATCCCAGATGACTTGCGGGGTGCTCATGGCTCCGAACAAGTCATGCGGCATGCGCTTGGAAGGAAACCGTACGAGACACGCCGGGAACCCAGGACCCCCACAGAATTTGAGAATTTGGGCCCCTGCCTTTTTTAGTTTTCAATTGTGGATTGCGAGCGGAGGGCTACAAGGGACCTGCGCGCACTCCAAATCGTGCCTCGCCGGGATCCGTAGCCACTCTAGCTCAAGAAGGCTTAGCCGACGGAGCCCTTGTGCGCCAACGTTCGTCTTGAATGTGTTGTTGTCCCCTTAACCGCGCGCTGTCGAGCCAATTGTGTTAATGTTTATTGTACGCGGATGCCTTGAATGCATCTTACAATGAGGAGCCAGCTTCTGGCGCCCACAGGCTGCGCAGTCACCGCCGCTCCATCGGGGGCAAAGCAGCGACAGCTGCAGCACATACCGATTTGCCAAGGCTTCCTCGTTTTCATGCCTTCCCTCGCACCGTCGGAACGCCCGACAGCCTCGTAACCGCCGTGAGCGCCCGCGGCTGCCTGGTCAACGACCGTGTCGAGTTTGCGATGGCGCCTCTCAATATTTTCACTGCGTTCAATCCGGCTCATGCGGGCGATGCTGAAATCGCAGACCGGAGAATCTGTTGGAACCAGTTCGAGGACGCAGGGGCGTCCAAATACGAGTGGGGACTCGGGTTTCATGTCCGCGCGCCCGCTCTTGGACGAATCTGCAACGGAGCAATCCCATTTATTTTCTGGTCCGACGGCATCAGATCGCCATGTAGTTGGGCAACGTGTCTCTCGCGACGGACCAGGAATACTCGTCCAGGCCAGCTGCGCAAGCAACGTCGAGTTCGCGAGTGGGCAGGCGGCTCCAGGGGGGGTAGTCGGCTGGGCAATGGTTGCGGCGCCGCCTGCCGCAATCAGATGCAAGTGGGCCATTGGGCGCGCGCGGCCAGCGGGAATCGCGTTCAATGCCAGCTTGGATGCTTCCCGAGGCCCCCGCCCACGTCAAGAGGATGCGGCTCCGACTGAACTTGGGAGCTCCCGTGGCTTCAACGCCCTACCAGAAGATTGTCGCGCGCGCCCGTCTTTGCTTGCGATGCGTTCGGCGGCTGCAGCAGCATCAACGCGGCTCGACGTCGCTGCCGACCTGACTTGAGAGCGGCGCGACGAGCTGTGGCTTCGCGACTCCCGCGCTGCGATCTTTCGCGCGCTCGCCGGCGCCCACTGCGATGCTAACAGCGGAGCTCGATTGGGGCGCGGCCGACATGTCGACGACGAGAGAAGCCCGTCTGCAAAGCTGCCAGCGAGGCCGCGCTCAGATCGCGCGTGACAGAACAATCGACATGCAGGATCTCCTGGACTGGGCAGCCTGGGCGCCTCGCGATTGGGCTCGCCCTCTTGTCCGCGCGATTGCCAGCGTCATTTATTCCAGTCAGTCTTGCGCCGAAAAGTCGTCGCGCTTCGTTTGTTTCTTCGGATTCGCTCGCTCCTTCCAGTGGCTTCTCTGCGTTGGCCATCGCCTTGCGGGGCGGTTCGTTTCCCAGCGGGCGTCTTGGACCGCGGCGGAAAACACTTCAGAGCGCTGATAGACGCGCCGCTCTTCGGTCTGCGAAGGCCGCTGCAATCTCGCGCGCCCCTCGCGCCGGCGGCGCGCCCGACTGCCTCGCGACCGCGACTTCTGCGAGCGCCCGCGGCTTCGCGGACAGCGACCGGGTCGAGAACGCAGCGCCCGTCTGGGGGCCGAACGCTTCGCTCGCGGAGCTCGAGCCCGATGCGTCGTTCAACGCCGTCGACGCGCTCGCGCCAACGCGCGCGGGCGATGCGAGGGCGACGTGATTCGGAGCGATTTCGGGGACGTAGCGGCGCGTCAATTTCGAGGAGGCATGGGGGCCATCGGCGCTTCGACGGAGATGCAATGGGGTTATCTGCCCAGCGCGCCCGGCCGACTTTCCCCTGCAGTTTCCGACGGGGCGCAGATCGCCTGTTTCTGTGGCAGCGCGTCTTTCGCGAAGGACCAGGACAGCTTCGGCTGAGCCAGCTGCGCAAGCAGGATCGAGTGCGCGAGCGGGCCAGGGTTCGGGGGCGAGTCGGCCGGGCAATCGCCGGAGCGTCGCCTGCCGCTTTCGGGTGCAAGTGGCGCGTCGAGCGCGCGCGGCCAGAGGCAGTCGCGCTCTGCGCTGGGGTGGCCCCCCGCGGCCCCCGCCCACATCCACAGAGTGCTGCTCCGACAGGGGGCGAGCGCAAGGAGTTCGCGGCCTGTCCAGACGGGCGCCTTGCGCGTCCATCTGAGCACGCGATGCGCGCGGCGCGTCTATATCGACGCGGTTCGACGTTGGCGCCGACCTCACTTCGGGCAGCGTGAGGTGGCGTCTCCGCGATTCGATGTCCCGCGCGTTCGCTGGCGCCCGCTGCGACTCCGACAGCGCGGTTAGGTTGGAGCTCGGCCGGGGAAGCGCCGGCGCAGAGTCGCCCGATTTCTAATCAGAGAAGCACGGACGCAACGTCGCCAGCAAGGCTGCGATCAGGTCCCGCGCGCAAAGGCCCCATCGGCATGCAGGACCCTTTGGGCCGGGCGGCCCAGGCGCCTCGCGGCTGGGCTCGCCATTCTGTCCGCGCGACTACGAGCGGCGCTTCGTCCTGCCATTCCTGCGCCGAAAGTTGGTCGCGTCCATTGCTTCCTCGGATTCGCCCTCTACTTTCCCGGCCCCATCTGCGTCGGCCGTCGCGCCGCGGGACAGCGGGGCCGGCGCGGGGCTCGAGCGGATATTTGCGCGCAAAGACGCCCGACTACTTTGCCGAGGCGCGCGGTTGCGGCGACTCCGCGAGGCCGCCAATGAAGTCGCGCGTCAGAGCCAGGACCGCGACGTTAGACTCCACGTCGCGCAGATCGCCCGCCGGCTGCTGGGCCGCGCGGGCGATGCCAAAGCGCCCGCGCCCAATCCAGCTTTCGGCGTTGGCCAGGCTAGCGCCGGCGGCGGCCCGCGCATTGCGAATGTATTGGGCCAGAGTCTGGGCGCCGCGCGGGCGGCAAGCGCGCGCTTGCCCGCGTTCCGCGAGGCAGCGGGCCGATGACGACGCGGGCGCGGGCGCGCAGCGCAGCGGCCTCTGCGCGGCCGACATGCGCATCGCTTCGAGATGTCGCAGGGGCGCGGGCAGGGGGCGAGGCGGGCCAGCGGCGATCGCTGGACGCCCAACATGTTTATTTTTATGCCAATCATCTCGGGCGTGGCTGGATGCGTCTCGCGTGTTGTCCTGCCTCGTGTTCCTGGGATGACCTTGGACGCAGAGGCAAGTCGCGAGTGATTTCACTTGCGCGCGGTGCTGTTTGATTCCGCTTTCTTGTCGGTTTGCTGCTTTTTTCTTGTCGGCATGCTTCCAAGTCCATGTCGGCCCATGATCGGCGATGATCGGGCGGTTCGCTCCCGCTGCGCGGTCGACGAGGATCGCGCAGTCTGCCCCCGTTACTAGCGCGCCCCTTGAGGGCGCTCGATTCAGGACCCACATTCGGGGCGTATTCTCAAGCGCTGCAGCTGGCGACTTCAAGACCTGCGCCTTAAATTTGCCTTCGGGGGAAAGATGGGCCCCGCGCCGCCCTGCCCCCGAGGGCAGGCGGGGGCCCCGGAGCGGCGCGGCTTTTGAATTGCAGCGCCCGCGTGCGTGCGCGCGCCTGTGCGCGCGCGTGCGTGTGTGTGTGCGGGGTGGGGGGGGGGGGGGGGGGGGGCGTCGCGCAGGGCCCTATCCCGTCTTTCGTTTTTTCATTTGATTTCGCATCACCCCAGGCCAACCAGCACATACACCGCTCATCCCTGTCAAGCAATGCCATGCGTGCCGCTCGCCCATCTTCCGCATGCACAGCGCAATGCTCGTTTGCGTCGCCCGCGCGCGCATGCCGAAGCTAGGCCAGACGCAGAACTTCGTCGCGCATCTGAACAGTCTAAATTCACGCGCGTCTAGTCATTGTTTTGCAACTCTGACAGAACGTTCTGACCGCGCACACTTGCTGAACTTATTCGAACCCCCATCGTCGTTTCGCAGTTTCGCCCAGGGCCCGCGCAGTCCTCTCACCGCGCGGCGCGGCCGCGCTGATCCGGCGCGCGCCCGGCTCGCGCGGCGGCCTCCTGAGACCGCGCGGGCCGCGGGCGACCGCCGCTGCGCGCGCACCGAAATCGCCCCGAAACTGTTCAAGATAGAGTTGCCCAAGCAAGATAGGGCGACCCAGTTACGCATGATAACTTAGACAGGTGTGTCAACGAGCAGTGCGTCAAGTTCCTCGCATTCTCGGGCGCGCGCATTTCCTCGCCATCACCTCCGTCGGCGCCGCAGCAGCACCCCCGTAATCGCATCGTCGAGCGACGTCGTTGCCGCCGCCCTCAGGCGAGAGTAAATCACCTTCGCCACCGGCACAATGACAGTGTCATCGTCATCGTCGTCAACGCCATCGGCGCTGCCCTTGGGCACCGCCATGCACCATCGCTGCAGCCGCTCCCGACGTCATCATCGTAGCGTGACTGCTTGAACCACCGACCTGCACCTGAGCGCACGCGCGCGAGCGCGGCCTCTGAGACGCGCTGGGAAGGCCCCATCGATAAACGCCATCGCGGCCGCATCCGCTGCGCCAAACTAGGTGGCCGCCGCGCGCGCGAATTTGCACGCTAGCGAAGCCGCGGAGGTTTGCAAACCAGCGCCAAATAGTCGCCGCAAACGTGGCCACGTGTCTTGTGTCAGATGAGTTGCGGGTGGGCAAGTGGGACGGTTGCGCGAGCAGTTGCCTTGGCGGTTTTGAATTCTGCGGCGTGGACTGCATCAGAAAGAGTTCTCCGGCGAGTGGGCACAACAAGGGTTGCACCACACAGCCTGCGCCCCACAGCGTGCGCCACACAGCTTCGGCCCAAACATTCAGCCACACAAGAAGCCCGTCGGAACTGTCACAAACCACAGATGTTTCGGTGTCCACTCTAGCAAGCATCCCGTACCAGGCTGCGTTGCACGCTTTTGTTTTCAGTTCGCTTCCCCTATCGTATCCCATGCGGTTTCGTCACCTTTCCTTTGCTCACCCTTCTCCGTCCTCTGTCTCCTCCGTTTCGGTTCTTCTTTACCCCCCTCTCCAACGCAATGCGCCAATTTTCCCCGTTACCATCCACCCACCCATTGCGAGCGCAACGCCAAAGGCCACGGCGCTTCGCATATTGTGCCAGCGCGCCCGCCTCTGGCCCCGCCGGAGGGGCGCGCCCCGCGCGGCCTTGCGCGCGCCCGCACGCGCGAGGCGCGGGAGGACATGCTCAACGGCCGCGCCCGCCTTCGCCGCCGCGCTTTTCGGACGACGACGGCGACGGCGGCGGCGGAGGCGGCGGCCGCCGGGTCTTCGGAGGCCGTCGGGTCCTCGGAACTTGTTGGGGGGTGTTCCCGCTGTCTTCGGAGGCGGTCGGGGGAGGTCGGTGGTGGGGGCCCTGGGCCGTCGCCGCATCTTCCTTCTCCTCTGTCTCCTCCTCCTCCTTCTCCTCCTCCTCCTCCTCCTCCTTCTCCTCCTCTTCTTCTTCCTCCTCCTCCTCCTCCTCCTCCGCCTCCCCCTCTTCCCCCTCCTCCTCATCCTCCTCCTCGTCCTCCTCCTCCTCCTCCTCCTCCTCGTCCTCCTCCTCCTCCTCCTCCTCCTCCCCCTCCTCTCCCTCCTCCCCCTCCTCTCCCTCCTCCCCCTCCTCTTCCTCCTCCTCCTCGTCCTCCTCGTCCTCCTCCTCCTTCTCTTCCCCCTCCTCCTCCTGCCGCGTGGCGCCATGGTTCCCCAAACGACGGGTTTTCCAGAGTGTCACGGGGGGGGCCGAGGGCGCTCGTGCCTGCTTCCGTGCGCATGGTGTTCGGTTGTCGGGTGCCTCGCGCGGTGTCGGCCCCCAGGCCCGCCGCGTGCCCGCTCCATGCGTCGGCTAAGGTGTTCGGTTTTTGTTGCTCGGTGCCTCCCCGTGCACGTCTCGCACCCGCCTATACACACACGTATGTCTGTCTGTCTGTCTGTCTGTCTGTCTGTCTGTCTGTCTGTCTGTCTGTCTGTCTGTCTGTGTGTATGTATGCATGCATGCATGCATGCATGCATGTATGTATGTATGTATGTATGAATGAATGTATGTACGTAATGTATGTAATGTATGTAATGTATGTAATGTTTGTAATGTATGTAATGTATGTAATGTATGCATGCATGCATGTATGTATGTATGTATGTATGTATGCATGTCTGTATGTATGTATGTATGTATGCATGTATGTATGCATGTATGTTTAGATGTATATGCATATCTGTGTATATATATATATATGGAGTAGGCACAGGGGCAGGGGTGGGGTGGTGCCACCGGTTGGCATGGCCGCCCCAGGCGTCCTGTGGGGCCCACGAACCCGCCCAAGACAGCACATGATGCCCCAAAGACAGCCCAACAGGCCCACAAGACAGCCTGTGCGAGGCCCTAGAGGGCCCCAAGACGCCCAAGAGTGCCCCAAAAGGGCCCCAAGAGGGCCTTCAAGAGGCAAAAATCTGCTTTTTCGTAAAACGTACATTTTACTCGCTTGCTTCGTCTTCACAGTGCCCCAGACGCCCCCGAGGAGCCCCAAGACTGCCCAAGAGAGACCCAAGAGGGCACAAGACACAAGACGGCCCAAAAGGGTAGTCCTATGGGGCTCACGGAACGCCCCCAGACGGCCCAAGAGGCCCCAAAGCTGGCCCAGGAGGCCCCCAAGATGGCCTCAGGGAGGCCCAAGAGGGCCTGGTTCGAAATCGTGTTCCCGGAAGCCTCTCCGGGAACATGATTTCCGGGTTCCCAGGCAGCCCAAGAGGGCCCCAGGACGGCCCCAATGGCCCTGAAAGGACATTCGAAAAGATTCGGAGGGCCACATTTCGTTGATTTGCGCGAGATGTTGTTGGATCTCTTCCGCGCGGAGGAGACGGAGAGGGCGAAGGAGGAGGAGGAGGAGGAGGAAGAGGAAGAGGAGAAGGAGGAGGCGGAGAGGAGGAGTGGAGGGGAGGAGGGGGGGGAGAGGAGGAGGCTCGAGGGCGATCGACGATCGGCGACGACGACCGGCGACGGTGATTGACGACGACGACGACGACGACGACGACGACGACGACGACGGACGACGACGACGACGACGACGACGACGACGGTCGACGACCAACGACGACGACGACCGACGACGATGACAACAGTCGATGCCGTCGGTCGACGTTCGACGGCGACGACGACGACGGCCACATACTTTTTCAGCATACTCGCTTGCTTCGTCTTCACAGTGCCCCAGACGCCCCCGAGGAGCCCCAAGACAGCCCAAGAGAGACCCAAGATGGCCCAAGACGACCAAAAGGGTCGTCCTATGGAGCTCACGGAACCCCCCAAGACGGCCCAAGAGGCCCCAAA